CTGTTCATATGCACAGGCTGTATGTAGTGCTCTCTACCCCCTGTCCTACTGTACTACTGTATACTCGAGCAACTACTTAGTTAGTACAGTCGTACTTAGTTAGTAGAGCTCTCAGCAGCTTGTTTTGGAGAATACCAAGCAATAAAAGGTCCAGACCTCACCTTACTCCCGGGACCAAAAGGCGTTCTGTGCCCCTTTCCACCGACCTTGTGGCTTACAGCCACAATGAACACTTTTGTACAACAGACAAGAGACGGGGTTGGTCTGTTAACTATTGAAGCCTTGGACCTGTGAAATATCGGTCGAGGAAGATTCTGGATCCTCGCCCATCAACAGTCAACTGCTGTGACCGACCATGTCACGACTTTATGGGGGGGTTAGGCAGCAGCGCGGGGGAGGGAAAAGAAAAAAGAAAGGGAGAGGGTTATCAGTTGGATTCCAAATTCCACCGTTGAGAGGATGCATGGCTTGATTCAGTCACGAAAAATGCCAGTAATGCACCAAAAACAGGGGGAACGGTCAATGACCTGGTCACTCCCCCTCTTCCCTTAAGTATAGAACCATAGGTAAGACGTCCGAAGAACAATCTTTACGTCAGGAAGTTTGGCAACTGACCGGTAACCTTTTTGAATTGTTTCAACGGATATTTTTTCCTCCCAATCCTTGGCTCGCACCAAACCCTCCCATTATTTTCGAAAATTGCATGGAACACTTGCTGGTGCACACGATCGCTGTTTTTGACTGGTAAGAAAGTCGACAATGGTGTTGTTGTTGGTATCTGCCACAATGTGTTGTTGTTGTTGTTGTTGTTGTTGTTGTTTTGTCATCTGCTACTACCGGTAGCTACTACTACTGTTATTGCATTATCTAACATTGTTGGGCTCGCACTCCACCACCGACCGATCGAACGTCGTCCTTTTATCCTTCCACTACCGACGCTCAGTCTACCGACGCTCCTTCCTCTACCGATACAACAAGCAACAAACAACTACTAAAACAACAACTTGCTGGGCTATTTTGTCTTGAAGTCAGCGCCTACGTGGGTAGGGGCAAAGATCTTTTGGCAACAACAACAACCATCCGACTACTACTCCTAAACTTCCTCTACGGAACGTCCTCCACCGAACGTCGTCCTTCCACCGAACGTCGACAATGAGGATTGCTACTAGTCCATGGTTCTCCAAGTGGCTGCAAAGTGTCAACAGATACCCATTGAATGAGCTGAGGGCCACTAGGAATGGAATCACTTGCAAGTACATCATTGTGGAAGAACAAGAGCCGCACCTCACCAACTACCAGAAGTTTCATTGTTTGGTCGCGAATGAAATAGCAGTGGCGAACCTTCAGGAGTTGATCTACCAAGGAGCATGCAAACCTCTTCCTCCTGACATGAAACAGCGCCATCATGGATTACTGTTGTATTCAGGGACTTCAGAAAAGCCCACAGTGGTACGGGCTGTTCTTGCTACCTTTTATGAAAATGCTGGGAGGGACCAGATCCCTGTCAAAGGAAGGACATCTTTATTGAGTTCATTTATTGGTTGGTGAAGGAAAGGGTCCAAGAGCGGTTTGATTTGGGCTCTGTTGAATGTGGCATAGTGATGGCTGCGTGGCATGGGTATTACAGTCAGTGGTACCAAGACAAATTTTCTTTTAAGGATTTCAGTATGATGAATGAGGAGTTTGTGACTTTTTGCATTGATGACATTGACTATTCTGGAGTCCTGCGACCCCAATTTGCTATTTTCATTGATGGAATTGAAATGTAAGTTAATATCTATATTACTAGATTACAATGATGCAACAATTCTACCCATTCTGCTGACCATATCAACTGTATTGAGACCGGCAATAGGCGTCATGTGGTGGTCTTCCTCTACTGCGAGTCAACCCACTGCAGTAATCTTCTTGAAAGCAGCCATTTGGTGGAGGGTGCGCTGGAAAGGGAGATGGCAGTATTGGTTGGAATTGCTGCTTCATTAATGCAAGTTGCATCATTTGAATCTGGTTTTGTTGCTGATATAGAATCAGAGTTACCAATGGTTGGGAAGAATTTCATTGTTGCTGTTGCTTACAGGAGAAGCTGCTTGTGGAGGTGGATTGGGTGGTGGAGGTTGGAGCTGTGGAACCGGTTGTGGAACCGGTTGTGGTTGTGGAACTTGTTGTGGTTGAGGTTGTGGAACAGGTTGTGGTTGTGGTTGTTGTGAAGCTTCAACTGGACTGGTGCAAAATCTACACAAGCAACCAATCATTTTCTTGCGTCAGTACTTTCTGCCTGTTAGGTTTGAATCCAACAATGTACTCTGAAAAGAATCTTTCTCCATTATCCTCTGGCAGGTCTGCATTGGAAATGGTCCATCACAGACCACAGCCTTGCTATCATTCAGGTAAGCCAACTCTGAATGGTTCCAGTAAGGAACAACCTTCTCCCATCCAGCTGGAATTGACTTCCTTTCTGCCTCGCTGATTCTTGACAGGAAGGCTCTCTTGTGGCGAATCTTGAGGTTGTATCTAGCAGTGCCAGCAAGGTTGAGTGCATCAGCAAGGCTTCTTCTCATTCCACCATTGCCAAAGTGGGCAAACTTGTCATGGAAAGCTTCTAACTTGGATTCTCCTCTCCTTGACAGTACTCTGGAAGCTTGTGCTTGAGTTGGAGATGGCTGATTGTGTCATACATTTGCTCCATGGTAGTGGATCAGCCAAGTGAATGGCTTTCTCAATGCAGTTGTCTACTGCTGGCTTGGTGTCTGGAGTGAACAAGGTAAATTTCTTGACAGGATCCAGTCTTCCTTGGCCAGGTTGGCTGCCCTCACTGGCTGTCACCTTGTACCTGCAGAACCACTGTTGAATCTTCTGCCTCATTGTTTCAGGTTCTCTCATCCTCTTCCTTAGGTACTTGGAGTATCTGTTACTGAAGACCCTTGATGATTGCAGGTCTGAGATCTCCACCATGGAATAGTGTTTGCCATCAGCTGATAGGAGACCATGTTTCAGAGCATAGAGAACCTTCTCATAGTCCTCAGGTAAGTACTCATAGAGGCAATCCAAGAGAGCATTCAAGCTTCGAAGTAGTCAATGTGACCCTTCCTCAAAGTTGACAGAATCCTTTTCTCATAATGGAACAGGCCAAGTATTCCCTCAATACCTGGAAAAAGTATCTCCCATAGTCATCCTTGTTGGCCATGTGTCACTGTACATGGCAGATGGATTGAAGTTGCTCTCTCTTTGCTAGTGCAGGCTGCATGGGAGAAGTGGATGGTCTTTGTGTGGGAACCAGCACTGCTGAAGCATCTCTCCAGTTTCGGTGGGCAGGCATCCCAAACACATCTACAACCTCTCTCTTCATGTAGTTCTTGACTGGCTGGAAAGTGTGGTCTTGGCAGAAGATACCCTTTGTTGCACTTACACTTTGTATCTCTCTAGTGTGCTCTCATGTTGTACTGATCCTCCACGGTTCCTGTTGGACGCAGCAGCCTTATCGAACAAGTCACGGATTGTGTCACCAAGAGGAGGGTATTCTTGATGTAAGTCCCATCCTTTGGAAGGAAGGGTGGAGGGATCCTTCTCACTTCCTTGCCAGTAAGAGAAGTAGGACATGATTGCTCTGACATACTCTCTGTTGATTGCGTTGTAGATGGAGCGACTGCAAGGTCACCATTTCCATAGGTAACAATTATAGAATCGAACACCTCAGTTGCTGTTCTCTCTAGGTGATAGTCCTTCTTAGCAAAGGCATACTTAGAGTCGATGGATACAGCAAGGAAGCATGCTCTGGATAGACAGCAGAACCTCTGCTTGTGTTGGAATCAAATCTCCTTTGCAGCAGCTGCAGACCATGGACATACCATGCACCAAGATGGAGGCCAGAATGCCAAAGATGGGGAACAAGTCTTGTTCCTGGACCAGTTTGTCATTGTATCTGAGTTTGCAAGAGCATCTTCCATCCGGACAAGGTACAGCAATCAACATCGATTCCAGTCCACTAGGAGGAGTTTCTGCCAACAATGGAGTGGTAGTGAGGAGACTCGAATTGATCCTTTGTGGCTGGACTGTCATGGTGAGTCCTTCGAAGTGTTGATTAAAAGGCGATTGTCTGGTGTGATCGACTCAGACACTGCTTCTGCCATAGCTATCATGGCCAGGGGAGCTATTTTTGTCTTGTGCTTCTCCACAAAGGTGGCATCTCTACAAGAGCTGTGACTTTCTCGCAGACACAGCTGGAGTAGCCATGGCCTTGTACTTTGGTGTTGCTTTGGCTGTGGCCTTGGCTGTGTTTGGTTCTAGCAGCAAAGAATGCTTCTCCATTCTTCTCTTGTGAATGCTCCAGCTTCCTCTCTCATTGATTGGAAGAGGAGCACTGAATTGCTTGTGATCTCCTGCTTTCTTTGATTGTCTCCATTGTCAGCGCATTCAAAGGTCCTTGTCCTTTTGTTATTGTATTCTTAATACAGAAGACAGAGTGTGATCTCTTTGGGACTCTGAGACCAAGATGTCTGGCCTTACAGATGACACAGTTCTTGAGTGGATCAAAGACTTCTGCTATCCCTCCTTCCAGTGCTGTTTGGGCTCCTTCTCTCGCTCTCTTTGATGATCTTGGGTTGTTGTTGTTGGCGAGTTGGATGCTCTCTTCTGTTGTGGATTTCGATTCTGACTCTGGCAGGCCCATCCTTCATTTTTGTGTTGTTGCTGCTGCTGCTGCTGCTGTTGCTGCTCTGCTTCGGTCATGATGGTGCCGCTTTTGGGTAGATAATGACTGTCGGTTTGGTGAGATAATGACTGTCGAGTTGAGCAGGCAGCGGCAGATGTCATTGTCGATCTTCGATCGGAGGAATCCTTCTTTCACGAAAACAGAAACACGAAATTTCGAACTTTGTAGCACACTGTATCCGTAATAACTATAAATGGTACGTTAAGTATATTTGAATTTTTGCGACATACTTCCTGACGTATTAGGTTGATTAACCAATCAGATCACTGCCTTTCGCCCCTTTTCCGCCTGTCACCTTATTAGCACGGCCTGGAACCTCATTTTTCTGGTTGGTTTGGCGAGGTTTCAACTGCTCGACACAAAGTCATCAGTTCGCAACCAAAGAGCCAAAGAGATATCAACACCAGCCCCTTTCTCAATTGGATTGGTTGCTTCTCTATTGGTAGCAGTGATATCTCTTGTATCTGATCTGTTGGAGAGTTTGCTGATTGATTGAATCGATTTTGAATTATCTCAAGGGTATCCTGGTTCCTGATACCCCTGATACGGTACCCCTTTACTTCTATTGATTTGAAAAAAGGTATGATCAGCACCGGTGAACTTGCACACTACCTCACTTGTGATAATTATCATCGCGCTGATCTTGATTTCTTATCTTCGTCAGGTTGACTTTGACTGCTTAGGCCAAATTTGGAAGATGTCATCTGAACAACCCAAAAACGACCCGAAAGAGGTAGACGTGGACACTATCGGGCGTAGTGGCGCTCGTAGTTCCGTCACTCATTCGAGGATCCAGATTGGTGGTGGAGCTCCTCGTCGTGCGAGCAATGCTACTGCTGGTACTGGTACTAAAAAGAAACCGCACAGTTCGTACATTCCCCACGAGTTTTCCGAAGAGTTTGTGAGACGAACATCCGGGTTGCAAGCTACCCTCCCCGTCTTGTCGGCCAATACGACGGCCAACTTTGTCTCGTGGTGTCAAGAACGCTTTGGAAAAACCAAATTCAAGTCAGAACCAGAACAACCCAGTCGAGTCTCGTTTCTCGCGTTGCTCTCCTACAGTACCTTTGGAGAACGCATCTGGATGGTCATTGGACTCTTTTTTGCCCTGCTCACCGGACTCTGTCTACCCACTTGGCTGATCCTACTGGCGAGAGCACTTGATACTTTTTCTACCATTGCTCATCTCATTCTACAAGGAGCTGGTGATGCGGCATATGAACATTTAAATCGAGAATTGGGAAAATTGGTCATTGCCTTTGCCATTCTCGGCGCGATTTCTCTCGTCGTGGGATTCACCTACGTTGCCATTTGGACGTATACGGGAGAACGACAAGCGCTGCGCATCAAGGAAAAGTTTGTTCATGCCGCCCTCCGACAAGATGCCGAATGGTTCGATGTCAACAATCGAGACGAACTACCCACGTCGATTGCCAATGCCATGATTCACATTCAAGGTGCCATTGGACGACCCATGGCAGACTTATTCGCCAATGCCGTCAGTGCCTTTGCCAGTCTACTCGTGGCCCTACTCCTCAATGCACCACTTGCCATTGTCATGCTCTGTGTGGTACCCGTCGTGGCCATTGTCATTATGATTGTCAGTTGCTTTTCACGAAAAGCCAATCAACAGGGTGCCAATTCATTTGTCGCCGCAGGAGCACTCGCCACGGAAGCCATTTCCGGTATCAAAACCTTGGCGAGTTTGTGTGCCGAAAAGTGGGCTCTTACAGCTTATACAGGACACATTGCGGCGGCACAAAAACACTCCATTTACGGAGGATACTTGGCGGGTCTCATGAGTGGCATTACCGGGATGCTCTTTTATTGCACCTACTCGGGAGCCTTTTATATCGGAACCGAACAAGTGGCAGCACACATGACACTCACCATTATTGTCCAGTGCCTCTTCTTTGAAGATGCACCCGATGAGGTCAACGACGATGGACTCTACGGAATTGCCAAGGACGTACTGGAAGAAATCAACGGTGAAGTGGATTGTAGAGTCAACGGCGCCAGTGTCATGTGTTGCATTTACGGAGTCATTCTTTGTGCTACCTTTTTTGGACTCATGGCACCCGGACTTCAAAATATCAATCTCGGACGACAGGCTGCCGCCACCATTTTTGCCACCATCAATCGCATTCCCGTCATTGATGCTGATTCCACGTTGGGAGATACACCCAAGAAAATGCAAGGCAAAATCACCTTTCAACGTGTCTTTTTCAGTTACCCCACACAACCCAATCGTGCCATTTTTCACAATTTCAATCTCACCATTCAAGCAGGAGAAAGTGTGGCATTTGTGGGGCCCAGTGGATCGGGAAAATCCACCATTGCCAAATTGCTGTTGCGATTCTATTGTCCCCTCGGGGGAAATATTGTTCTGGATGATGAGTATCCGTTGGGTTCACTGCGACTTTCGTGGTGGCGGGAACAGGTTGGATACGTGGCACAAAGTCCCATTCTCTTTCCGGGAACCATTCGATACAATATTGCCTGTGGCAAGGAGGGGGCCACCGAAGAAGAAGTTATCGAGGCCGCCAAGGCAGCCTGCGCTCATGAATTCATTACCGAATTGCCCCAGGGATATGATACCTTTTACAGTGGGGCGTCGGTTCAATTGAGTACGTAGTCGCTTGCTTTTGTGTATTCTTGAGACATTTGGGTTTGAATTGTGGCTGCAGTCTGTTCTGACACCATTTTTCTCGTGTTCGTTCCATAACAGGTGGTGGTCAAATGCAGCGTATTTGCATTGCACGAGCCATGATTCGTAAACCCTCCATTTTGCTTCTCGACGAAGGTGCGTAATGAATGCCGTTGTGGTACCCGTGGATTCGAACCAGGATGCGTACCGTGTTTCTCACAGGCTCCGTCATTGGCCGCTTCCTCCTGACTTGGACAATCTACCTATGCGCCCATTTTTAATTTTCCTAAAACGTGCCAGCCACCTCTGCTTTGGACACCAACTCGGAGCGTCAAGTGCAGGATGCTCTGGCACACATTCGGAGCCAAAAGAAAATGACAACCCTCTCCGTCGCCCACAGATTGTCCACCATTGTCCATTGCGACCAAATTGCTGTCATCAGTGGTGGCAACATTGCAGAACTGGGAAATCATCAGCAATTATTTGCCTTGGATGGAATCTACACGACACTCTGCGAGTCACAGGGAATCACGGCCGAATCTACCTTTGAATCCACTCCCAGAACAGTCACCAGCAGCACCAGTCGTGACGATGTGGAAGTTAGCGTCAATGGCGTACAAGCTCCCAACATTGAAAATATTGAAAATGGATTGACCCTTTCGCAAAAGGAAGTTTTGTACGAGGACGAGGAGGATGAACAATTGGAAGGGTTGACTGCTAGTCCCATGCGAATTCTGGCACTCAATAGTTCAGAATCGGGGTACATGTTGATGGGTGTCATTGGGGCGATGATGGTGGGTACTCTGGCGCCGGCAGAAGGGATCATCACGGCCCGCATCGTGGAAAACTTCTACACACAGAAACCGGAGGATATGGTGGAGGCAAACTCTGAAAATATCCTCTATTTCCTCATTTTGGCAGCCGGTGCTCTGGTTGGAAACATCATCAGCGGTATTGGCTTTTCCGTGTCAGGATATCGATTGAGCGGGAAAATGCGCACATTGGTTTTCGAGGCCATCCTTCGTCGCAACATCGGTTGGTTCGATGTACCGGAGCACTCCGTGGGTGAGCTGACGTCTCGTTTGGAAGCTGATGCGGAAGAGGTTGCGAAGATCACTGGTTGGGCTCTTGGTTACAAAGTCAGAATGATCTCTTCGCTTGTGGCTGGGATTACGATTGCTCTTGTGTTTTCCTGGAGGATTGGTCTGGCCGCCATTGCTTGTATCCCAATCATCATGGCTTCTTCGTTTGTACAAGTATACTGCATTAGACGCCAAATAGCAGCAGCACAGGAAGGTCTCTCGCCCGAGTCCATCTTTGAAAATGGCCTCCGTGGAATCGAAGCAGTTCAATCCTACGGTCTCCAAGTCAAAGTCGGCGAAGATTACTCCAAGGCTTTGATTCCACAATCCAAACGTCATGCAAGAATGGGTTTGACTTCTGGATTGGCGTTCGGCCTGAGTCAGTTTGCGATGTTTGGATCCTTTGCAATCATCTTCTTTGTGGGAGCGCAACTCCTTGTAGCCGGGAAAGTTGGCTTTGTCGAGTTCTTCACCCCTATACTTTCAATAATGTTCGGGACAGTGGGCGTAAGCCAAGTGAATGCTGACTTTAATGCCCAACAAGATGGTCTCAGGGCCGCACAGCGAATCTTCGACATTGTGGACGAGCCGCTGGACGAAATGGATCCTTTCGGTACCGATGGAGTGCAACCCGATTCTCTTAATGGTGCCATCACGTACAAGGACGTCTCATTCGCGTATCCAACACGCCAAAACCACCCTATCTACTATGCTTCCGAGGGCAGATCCGGGTTTTCGTTGGAGATTGCGCAGAAGAATTCGGTTGCTTTTGTCGGGAAAAGTGGTAGCGGGTAAGTTCACTTGTCGTGTTTGGAAATGCAGTCTGATTGTATGTGTTGTGTTTGTTGGCCGACCTTACCAAGTGTTCCTTGTCCAAATCTTTTGCAGAAAATCGACGGCACTTCAGATTCTTCTCCGTTTCTACAATATCACCGATGGAGAAGTCTCACTGGATGGCGTCGATTTGAGCAAGATCAACATTTCATGGCTTCGTCATCAGATTGGATACGTGGGACAAAATCCCACACTGTTCGCCGGCACAATTCGCGACAATATTCTCCTTGGAAAGCCCGATGCGACTGAAGCCGAGATTGAAACGGCAGCCAAAGCGGCCGCTGCCCACGAGTTTATTCTAGATCAAACTGACGGGTACGACACAGATATTGGCAGCGGGGGTTCCCTGCTGAGTGGCGGACAACGCCAACGCATAGCTATTGCGCGTGCCATTGTATCTGACCCGAAAATGTTGGTGCTGGACGAGGCTACGGCAGCATTGGACAATGAAAGCGAAAAGATTGTACAGGCAGCCCTTGACAATCTGCAAAAAATCCAACCCAGGACGACACTAGTGGTGGCGCATCGATTGACGACAGTGAAGGATTGTGACAAGATTGCCGTTCTTGGAAACGGTGGTGTCATTGAGCTGGGTTCGCACGGTGAGTTGCTGGCGAGCAAGGGACTGTACAACGAGCTCTGGCAAAAGCAAGGAGCCGCGGACGCGGACGACGATGAACCGACAAATGTAATGAAGGCATCCGTCCTGTCAGTTTAGGACTGGGCACTTCCATGAATCTATCCGAAGGTCGTTGATCTGTGCTCTGGGTACACACACAGGATTATGTATTTGTTTCAGCATAACTTAGTAGAGGTTGCATGAGTGAAAAACATTGACGGGGAATGCTTTTATCTTGCACCGCCTCTCACGTCAACCGATTTCTGAGGTCTTTGTTTTGATGGGTGAGAGCTTCCAAGCCTCCATGCCATGCTTCCCGGACTCAAAACAGCTACCGGTTCGGCAACAGTTAGGTTAGACCGTGAAGACGGTGGAGATGTGAGCCCGTAGAGGTGGGAGGTCGGAGATGTGCATAGTGTAGAAACCTAGAGCCCGCACCACTTTTATAGTCTAACTCTCTTCCAGTTGTGCAGTTGGTCTGCTCTTTTGGCTGTCCGGCTCCTGCCCTTGCACCCTGCACTCATCCTCTGGAGTCCATTCATTCCCCCCCAAGTCCCAGAGAACCCCCTGGCCATGGCAGAGGTACGTACGAGCAGCTTCGATTTTTCTGATTCAAACGCGTGCCGGCTTTTCTGGTACACTTCTACGAGTGCTAGTGTAGAAATGTAGGAAGAAGCTCGGCTCGCGTTTGAATCATTAGAAGCGAAGCTGCCTGTACCGGTTCGTGGTCGCGCACTGCTCAGATCGCGCTGAAGTGTGACTGATACACTTTAACCGGGACTGTGCAGATATTTCTGGATAAGTTCCTCATTGCGGCTCGATCCTCGTTTTTGGTTCTACTCACTGAGATCTCACATCCAGCAAAACTCCTGACTGAAGGATGCGTTGAGGATGCGTTCAACAATGGATCTAGACACTACCAGTAGCTAGCTAGCCTGGATTCTTTTGGGCACCTGTTGCTTGCTTCAAAATCCTCCCTCCCCGCCAATGACGAGCTATGATGTTGGTCCTCTACATCCAAAGTCTAGCATTACATGTTGTAATAGTACTGGTGGTAGCGACAGAACTAGCATCGAGCCAGCAAGATGAATGTCGCATCGACTTTGCGTCGGGCCAGACTTGTAGATTTGACGGGCTAAGCAATGGAGTCTCCACTTTGATTTATCCCGATCCCAGCAGCGGGGCCCGTTGTTTTACTGACACTCGAAGGGATGGCACCCCGCAAGAGTATTTCTTTCAGGTGATCCCGGGTGATGTGAGTAACTTGCTGCTCTGGTTTCAAGGAGGAAGCGCTTGCTTTAGCACAGAAACTTGCATCGACGGTGGATTGACCGTCCAAGATATATTTCCGCTGAATCTGACTTTATTTAGCAATGGGGTGTTGGATACGACTGATCCACGCAATCCTTTTGCTGGGTGGACACTGGTATATCTTCCGTATTGTTCCGGAGACAGCTTTATGGGCAACAAGGTGACGGAGGACGGACTCGTTCATTTCAAAGGAAACAAGAATGCTAGAGCTGTCCTAGATTGGTTGTTTGCCAACTTTGGTGATGGTGCCGATAATGTTGATAACCGACCATTGGAAAGAGCCATATTTGGGGGGTTGTCGTCCGGGGCCCTAGCATTGGCCTACTGGTCCAATCTGCTCCTTCAATGGATCAATTCGGGGTTCACACAGCAAGTCCAGAAGCCAATCACCACCGTTTTGTTCGATTCCAACGTGTTCTTCTTCAAGGAATACTTGTCGGACCGGGTCTTGGAAATCTGGGATGTCTGTCAGCCGAATATTGGTTTTAATCAAACCATTTTGGAGCTTTGCAAGCAGGGAGACTTTTTTGGCCTCGAAGCCGTTCTTTTGGTAACCAAGACGTATACGGATGTCCCGTTTGCCTTTATCCTGGGCAAGGGCGACTTGGTACTGCTTGGCGGGTGGTGTGTCAGTGGATTGGAAGGAATCGACGTTGCGGCGGGGAGTATTGACCTTGCAAATTTTGGGTTGGCAGATGTGTTTACGGTTTTACTCTATCTCGCCCAATCCGATCCGGCCCAGGTTGCGGATGCCCTGTATTGCACTCCATCGCGATTCTACAAGAAGGTCCAAGAACGGCTCTTGATCCTTCACGAGAATGTCAATGAGGAAAACAACGTGCTGTCTTACTTTATCAATACGCCGGACCATGCCTTTTTGCCCTTTGAAGCATTCTACACGACTTCGGCCAGTGATGGATGTACGTTTCCGACCGTATCGAGTGACAGTCCCCCATCCTTGGTCGATTGGGTTTCTTCCTTGGTGTACCGCGTGGAAGGGGCACGACTTTCCTCGGAATGCGTCAAAGGAGTGGGTCTCTGGCCGTGGGACGACTTTGGATGCAACAAGGAAGTGACTCATCAATTTCATATTGCCAAAGGAGACGATTCTGTGACGATTCCTCCCAACCCTCCTTGATTCATTCGAAATAATGTTGAAACATGGAGGTGTCACGAATCTCTGCCTGCAAGCTGGTAAGGCGGAAGTGCATATAATGATGGTCTAGCTACTATCTAGTTCCATGAGTGTTCAAGGAGCTGCTCTGCTTGAAGACTCGCATTTGAGGCTGATTGGCAATGCAAGCAAAAACGGGGAAGCCAGGCCCCTCTGGATTAAGCCAAACCCTCTGAAGTTGCGCCAAGCCCTCCTCGGTGTCAAGAGGAGCAATTGAGTCATCATCATCTGTTCATCCCACCCACGATATGAAGACCCACAGTTCCGTTCAACGTACCTTACACTGATCATGTTGCCAGAAATACCAAGTAACAACTTGTGTGTTGCTGTGCTTTCATCTACTACATCTAGCTAGTACAAAGGTAGCACTGGTAGGCCGATCCGTCTGGAGTTAGAGTCAACCCTTGCTATGTAGCCTGACTTAAGACCTCCTTGTCTAGCTACCGTAGCTACGTGTAGCTTTAGTTGCACCTCCATTATGTGAATTAAATTATTATTGCCATACGTTCGTTATGGTGTCTGATGTCTTCATGCAGTCCTCGCGTCTTCGCGGCTTCACTGCTCCCCTTCGTTGGAAAGTTGGAAAGCTTTCTCTGACTTCGACTCCATGACATACTGTATGCTGGGAAGGAGTGATTGAGCTAGTGACACAACAAGACAACAAGGGATAATGATGGTACCTGTATCTGGTTCGAAACGACCGCGCTTTATCCTCTCAGGTCGTCGGTTTACATTGATTGGACTGTTGATTTTGGTTCTGCTTCCAACAATTTTCTTTACTTCTAGTGGCAGCAATGAAGTTGTAGTCCACCAACCAGATCTTTTGTCTTCCATCCGTCCCACTTCACCCGTTACGAAAAAGGCAGATCAGTTACTACCACCTCCCTCCTTGCCAGAACTCACCAACACTCGAAACAATCATCCACAAGACCAAGCCAGCTGTGAAGCCAAGAGTTTTGTGTACATTCAGGATGTCGTCCACAAAAAGTCCATCACTGTCAACAGCAACAACAGCAAAATCCCCAAGGTGATTCATCAGACCTCCAAATCTCGATGTCTCACCCAACTGTTTGCCAAAATCTCGGAACCATGGAGATCCCTCCAAGGATATGACTATTATCTCCACGACGATGATGCCATGATTCGTCTCCTAGTGTCTCAGTCGGATGAATTTCCCATGCTCCATGATCTGGTCATGGCCAATTGTTTACCCCATGGTACGCTCAAGGCAGATGTTTGGAGATATTTGGTGCTGTGGACGTATGGAGGTGTGTATGCCGATATTGATACCCAGCCAACCAAAGTCTTTACTTCAAACAGCAACAATCAAGGGACAGCCATTAAGGATTCCGATGATGGATGGTTTGTTGTGGAGCAGTTTCACATATTGAGTCAGTACGTCATGGCAGTGTCACCCCACCATCCACTCATGTATTATGCCATTCAACACGCTACCCACAAAATCATGGCACAAGAAGATACCAAGCAAATCAATGCCGCATTGGTAACGGGGCCGCATGCGTTGCATCGAGCCTTTCAAGATTTTTGCAAAGATGCCGGAATTCGTATGGATCCTCAGGGGGTTGGCTTCAAACCAGTCAAGGCGGGGATTTGGCAAGGTACCAATGGACGGTCTATAACTGTGGTGGGACGGGGAGAGTTGGAAGGGGAATATATCACTCGAGAAATGATGTCATTGCACTTGAAGAAGAAACAGTATGCCAAGATGGGCATGAGTAGCTTTCGAGAGGATAAAATGCAATCATCCGGACAATCCTGCATGGCGGCATTGTTTCAGTATCATCATCATCAGCACCACAACCGCAATCTTCTTGATCAGAACGGTATGGTGAGTGGGGACAGCAATCGGGGTGGATGAGAGAATGTGCTAGTGGCACCAGTTGGTGTCCTCGCAACCTGCAGACACTACGGACTCCATGGAAGAAACAGGGACTGCCTCGTGCTAGCTACTACGGTAGCTACAACCGACCGCAAACAGAGATCCAATCTGCACCGTTTCATTTGCGTACCGGTAGTACGACACCGCCAGTGCTGCGAGTTCCATGATGTACCGCTACGGTTGTAACACGAAACCAACAGATGAGGATTTCGCTCCCTTGATAGCCGTGCAGGCCATCGATGGTTCAGGAACCTCAGAAGATCTTCTCTTCTAGATGTGTGGCCAAAGGAGACGAATCGAATCGATCCCAACCCGCCCTGATTCAAAATGGTGTGCAAGACATCGTTCTAAAATGCACGATCCTACTCTAGCTAGAACGCAAACAAGTCCTGTCAAGTTTGCCCCGCGGCAACTACGCTAAAGTTCACCAGTCAAGACATGCATGCATCCACTAATCCTAAAAGAGGTGATTTTTCTGTAACCACCATTCTACCTGGAAGATGTTCAACAGGTTCCAGGTTGACACGATGGTTCAGATTATACTATAAATGTCTAGAATTGATCAAGAATGGGATTCTTCCTTCCTTCCTTCCTTCCTGTCTCAGTCCACCAGTGTATTGCCAAACCATTACAACGCCATGCAACACATGCGTCAAGGGCTTTGTATACTTACTCACATGCGCTTAGGCAAAGTAAGAAAGGAATCGGTCGGATTCGGCACCCGACTTGACAATTTCCACGGGCAATTCGAGTGTACGGGGATCCATTTTGGAATACTTGTCGGCGGCAAACATGGCGGCAATTTTTTCGTATCGATCGGCCTTGCTTCCAATCCAAACGTAAATTTCCCATCCACTATCGAGCAAAAAGACATCGTCATCTTTGAGATCGCCCTTGTTGAGGCATTTGTAGTCCGTGCTGGTTTTCTGTACGGGCGATCCTTCGGCAACCTTTTCGAGATCTTTGGCAATGGATCCATCGACACGGTAGAGGAGGGGTGTGAATTCCGTCACGCCCTCGTCGTCGGCCGCATCCGTCTGAATGTCACCATCGCCCAGGTACGCCCAGAACTTGTCTTCGGAATCATCACCTTGTCCTTGATCGAGTACGACGACGGTGCCCATGGTGCACATGTTTTCGGCCCACACGTTGGAATCGGCCTTTTCCAGTGGTTTGGCCTAAGCAAATAAATAGATAGTAATAGAGAGAGGGTATATAGAGTAGGTTAGTTTTTGTGTTGCTTCCGATTCATTTTTCTGTCTTAGCTATACGACAC